AGTAACTGCAGGTATATAAATTCAGTGTTAACATCAGTAAAGGTGATTTTTTTTTTCACAGCTTGAAACATCCATTGCCCCTGAGGTCTGAACAAAACATGAAATAGACACAGGCTTCCTGGTTCTTACACTCATTTTATTTCCTTCGTTAAGTCAGTTATTGATGATTTGCAAGACCAAGAAAGGCAAAGAGAAGAAACTTCAAGGATCAATCTGTTGGATTGAAGCCTTTGCATTCCTTTTGAAAACACATTTACTACTTTTGCAAAGATTTTAATTTCTTTCCAGATATCCTTCATCTTGTTGCTGCTTTGACTTTATCTTTAGTGCTGTTGGAGATTGAGGAACAGAAGTGAAGGGATTTGATAGAAAAGGAAATGTGAGCAAGGAAGTGTTCATGCTCACTAAAATAAATATGAAGACGGTACATGGAAATGGTCTGTCATATCTTATGATCTGGGTTAGTTTAGGGAAAGATTTAAATATTTGAATGGTCTTTCATAAACTAATAATTTTTAAATTTGCATAAATACCCCAATGTAGATTATTATTGCATGGCAAAAAAAAATACATATATATATATATATATGTAATCTGGATTTTATATATAAAGATATATTCAAATATATAAAATTTATATATAAATAGATTTATAAAAAATTATATTTAGCTTATAAAAATATATATAAATTTTTATAAAGAATATATATATAATCTTGATTACATTATTGAGACTTATAAATTTTGTTTTTGTTTGGTTACAATTTGATAACAATCTAGCATAACAGTAGCAAATTATACAACAACATAAGTTTAAGTGATTTAAAATTAAGAATAGCATTTACTGACATTTAGCGTAACATTTGAATTGTGTGTGTATATGTGTATCACATATGCATATACATAGGTAGATAGATCATTTGAGTTGAATTTTATAACACAGCTATTTGGACAACAAAACACATCATCTTTAGAACCTGCCATTCAATTAGGTTTTCAAAATTTGAAAATACTGGTTAATTCTCTCATATATAGAAAATATGTAATACTTGCATTAGATAATTATTTTTAGATTTTTATTAGATTTTACACATCTCCTTTCTCAAATTGACTTTTGTTGTGTCATATGTAAGATTTGAGTAGTTCTTACCATATTAGAGAAGTGTTTTAAAAATACAGTTTAAAATTTTCTAAATCTTATTTTCAGTCACTTCTGAAAAAGAAAATACGATTTTTATTCCTTATTCCAAAGCCACCTGTAAGATAACCATTGTTTGGAACAATAATGTTTTGATAATTGTTAAGCAATTCAAAGAAAAATCTGATTTTTACTAAATTTTTACTGACTTTTAATCAATAGGTAAAATTTCTAGTAATCTTTTACAAATAAAAACCCATCAAGTTTTAATCTCAAATATTTTTGAAATTATATAAAATACATGTACTTAATGAAGGCATTTTTTAAAAAAGTTTTTGAGTATAGTTGACACAGAATGTTACATTAGTTTCAGGTGTACATCATAGCGATTCAGCTTCTCAATATATTTACTATGCTCACTGCAGGTGTAGCTACCATCTGTCACTATGCAACACTGTTACAGCACCGGTGACTATATTCCCGACACTGTGCCTTTTATTCCCATGACTTATTCATTCCTTAACTGGGAGCCCAGTTCCCTTCACCCATTTGGCCTTTTCCCCACCTCTATCCCCTCTGGCAACCATCAGTTCCTTTTCTGTATTTATAGGGTTTTTTTTTAAATTTTATTGTTATGTTAATCACCATACATTACATCATTAGTTTTTGATGTAGTGTTCCATGATTCATTATTTGCGTATAACACCCAGTGCTCCATGCAGTACGTGCCCTCCTTAATACCCCTCACCAGGCTAACCCATCCTCCCACCCCCCTCCCCTCTAGAACCCTCAGTTTGTTTCTCAGAGTCCATCCTCTCTCATGGTTCATCTCCCCCTCCAATTCCCCCCCTTCATTCTTCCCCTCCTGCTATCTTCTTCTTCTTTTTTTAAAAATATATATTGTATTATTTGTTTCAGAGGTACAGATCTGTGATTCAACAGTCTTGCACAATTCACAGCGCTCACCATAGCACATACCCTCCCCAATGTCTATCACCCAGCCACCCCATCCCTCCCACCCCCCACCACTCCAGCAACCCTCAGTTTGCTTCCTGAGATTTTAGACCCAGTGTATTTATAGGTTTGATTCTGTTCTTTGTGTATTCATTTGTTTTTTTAGAATCCACATATGATACGGTATTTGTCTTTCTTAGTCTGACTTATTTCATTTAGCATAATACCCTCTAGGTCCATGTTGTCCCAAATGGCACAATCTCATCCTTTTTATGGCTATGTAATATTCCTGTGTGTGTGTGTGTGCATGTGTGTGTGTGTGTCTATACACCACATCCTAATGAAGGCATTTTTTTTTAAGATTTTATTTATTTATTTGAGAGAGAGAATGAGATAGAGAGAGAGAGCATGAGATGGGGGAGGGTCAGAGGGAGAAGCAGACTCCCCGCTGAGCAGGGAGCCTGATGTGGGACTCGATCCCGGGACTCCAGGATCATGACCTGAGCCGAAGGCAGTCGCTTAACTAACTGAGCCACCCAGGCGCCCCTGAAGGCATTTTTTAAAGACTTTAAAATGTTTTAAATAATGTGATGTAAACATCTAACGCAAGCACCACCATCTGCAAAGTATTAGTAACAACTTTTGTAATAAAATACCTATATGTATCGGATACTGAAAGAACATAAAAATGAATAAAATGTGTCCCTCTGTAGTGACCCTTATAATTTAGAGCAATGAACAGCTTCTTTTTAGACACTAAATTCCATAAGAACAAGCATCAGGTCTGTTTCATTTACCATGATATCCGATATCAGCAGAATGTAGCAGAGTACCTGATACATAGTAGGTGCTCAGGGTTTGTAGAGTTAATGAATTAGTGGAAGAATGCATTGGAGCAAACAAGCATCCCTTAAAAAGAGTATCCTTTTTAAGTTAATGAGCAGTCATATGTTATTCATTAGTCATTTAAAATAGTTCTCCTACCCTCCTAATTTAATTTTCACTGCTCCCTACAGTGAATGAATATTGGTTGTTAATAGTATATAGGATTCAATTATTTTGTTAATGTAAAACAATGACATCTCTACAGACCTGCAGTTTTTCCTGTTTTCCTCCAGATGGAGCTCCTTTATACTTTTTGGTTTGTTTGTTTTTTTTTTTTTTTTTTTTTTTAAGAAAACTTCAGATGGCATGGCCACTTAACATTTCTGCATGTGATTTTTCAGATTGCCATCCCTGTTTTTTTCCATACATCATGCTTTATATTTCTTTTTTTTTATTATGTTAATCACCATACATTACATCATTAGTTTTTGATGCAGTGTTCCATGATTCATTATTTGCATATAACATCCGGTGCTCCATGCAGAACGTGCCCTCTTTAATACCCATCACCAGGCTAACCCATCCTCCCATCCCCCTCCCCTCTAGAACCCTCAGTTTGTTTTTCAGAGTCCATCGTCTCTCATGGTTCGTCTCCCCCTCCAATTTCCCCCCCCTTCATTCTTCCCCTCCTGCTATCTTCTTCTTTTTTTTTTTCTTTTTTTAACATATAATGTATTGTTTATTTCAGAGGTACAGATTTGTGATTCAACAGTCTTGCACAATTCACAGCGCTCACCATAGCACATACCCTCCCCAATGTCTATCACCCAGCCACCCCATTCCTCCCACCCCCCACCACTCCAGCAACCCTCAGTTTGTTTCCTGAGATTAAGAATTCCTCGTATCAGTGAGGTCATATGATACATGTCTTTCGGGCGCCTGGGTGGCTCAGTTGGTTAAGCGACTGCCTTCGGCTCAGGTCATGGTCCCGGAGTCCCTGGATCGAGTCCCGCATCGGGCTCCCTGCTCAGCAGGGAGTCTGCTTCTTCCTCTGACCCTCTCCCCTCTCATGCTGTTTCTCTCTCTCTCTCTCAAATAAATAAATAAATAAAATCTTTAAAAAAAAAAAAAAGATACATGTCTTTCTCTGATTGACTTAATTTCGCTCAGCATAACACTCTCCAGTTCTGTCCACACCGTTGCAAATGGCAAGATTTCATTCCTTTTGATGACTGCATAATATTCCATTGTATATATATACCACATCTTTTTTTTTTTTTTTTTTTAATTTATTTGACCGAGAGAGAGAGACAGCCAGAGAGGGAACACAAGCAGGGGGAGTGGGAGAGGGAGAAGCAGGCCTCCCGCAGAGCAGGGAGCCCAATGCAGGGCTCGATCCCAGGACCCTGGGATCATGACCTGAGCCGAAGGCAGACGCTTAACGACTGAGCCACCCAGGTGCCCCTATACCACATCTTCTTTATCCATCATGCTTTATATTTCTCTGTATAAATTTCATAAATAGTCATTCTTTGTTAGAAAGTCAGAATTAAAGATATAAATATCATTTATTTGATTCCTTTATATTTGGAATTTTTAAATGCAGGGGAGATCATAAAATAATAAGAAAAAAGAGAAAGGTACTATGAAATCAGGGAAGGAGAAAAATTAGATTATTTGTGAACTCAATGAGAAGAAACATCAGATCAGTCTTACTTACCAGGGTAATAACTTTAAGTTCACTTCTAGCTTCACAAATTTTATTTTAAACATTGTTGTCCTTCTTAAGTTTCTTTGTTAATTCCGTTGCCCTGCTGTGTATAAATGTGGCATTTGTTTGGATGTTCATCACAACTGGCAGGTGCCTGCATCGTCAGAATTTTCATATCTAATAGTGGACATTGTCTGAACTATCTGAGGATTAGGATTCTTTTTGACAGCCCTTACCCTGGCAGTCCAATAATTAAGAGCTTGGGGGGTAGATTTTTGATGAACCAGAATAATGTTTAAAAAAATTTTTTTTAATATAAAGAAACAAACAGTAGCAATCTCCTTATGGGTACACCTTTATATATTTTAATAGTAAGATGGACAAGTTAGGCCCTCCACTTCGAACTGGAAGACATGTGCAAAGGTTGTATGACAGTGATACAAAATCAGACAGTGCCATCAAAAGACATGAGTTATTACCCATTTACAAGTAAGTATTTGTAACTCAGTTTGGTTAATCTTTTTCAGATATTTCCTTAAAGGCTTTATATAATTGAATACTATAAACTTATACATTCCTATATTTAAAAAAAATCTTACTTTAATCATTTATAAGCCAAGAAGTGCTTAATAATTTTATAGGATTTAAAACACTTTGATGTTAGATGAACATTTCTGTTCTAAATAAAGCTGTTTTTAGCATACATTTCTATTAAATTTTACCTTGTAGAGGGGTGAAATAGCAGTCACCTTCAATGATTGTTATCTTTATGAAGCTTTCTTTTAGGAGTGTATATATATATATATATATATATTAAAGATTTATTTATTTGAGAGAGAGAGAGCATGGGGCAAAAGGGGCAGAGGAAGAGGGAGAGAGAATCCCAAGCAGACCCCATCCTTGCACGGAGCCTGACGCAGGTCTTGATCTCACGACCCCAAGATCACAACCTGAGCTGAAATCAAGAGTCGGATGCTTACCTGACTGCAACACCCAGGCACCCCTTAGGAGTAATATGTTTTAAAAGAAGAGTATAGGGGATATTATGCCATACATAATATGTAATATTGCTCTATTATTTTTTAGTTAGGATGATTAATTATTATAAAAAGGCAGAAAACAGATTTTAGAAAACATTCAATCCAGGGATTCTCAGTCTTTTGGTTAAATTGCTACAAATTCCACATAAAACGGGGAAAGGATAAGATACTGCCAAGGACACTCTCCTCTCTGTACTGGCCCAAAAAGCTGTAAAGAGAGGTGAGTAGCAATGACAGTCCCCTTGGAACTCTTCCACAGAAGTCTTCAGGGTTTTCTAGATTTAGGGCTCCAATACCAAGTCTAGCTCTCTGATTAAAATGATGAAATTTGAATCAGGTTAATTACTTATTAAAGTTGAAAAATATATTATTAAACAGAGTTCACTTAGTTAACTTTTAAAACAACTCCTACTACAGGATTGTCTTACCACATATGAAAAGAAGGGTTAATTTAGCTAAATATAAAATAAAGATGGGAGAAGTCTTTAAAATATTAGCAGCACCCGTGCATTATTTTTAAGTAGTTAGTGATAGATCATAGAAGGAAGAATTTGTGCCCTGAGCCATTTTTCTTAGTACTGTTGTTCTCTATTCCCTCTGAAGCATATTTCAAAGAAACACTGATTAGCGGTAAGGTAGAGTAAAATTAAACCTTCTTTTGTTATTTTTGACCTAGAACAAGCAGATTGCAGATACAGAATAAGGGTAGCACTTTTCAAAATCTGAACAGGAGCAAAAATGTGTTGACCATGTGAGACTGGGACAGCATGTTTTAAGTACTAATCAAGACTGTTCTTGGGCGCCTGGGTGGCTCAGTTGGTTGAGCGACTGCCTTCAGCTCGGGTCATGATCCTGGAGTCCCGGGATCGAGTCCCGCATCGGGGTCCCTGCTCAGCGGGGAGTCTGCTTCTCCCTCTGACCCTCCCCCCTCTCATGTGCTCTCTCTCTCATTCTCTCTCTTATTCTCTCAAATAAATAAATAAAATCTTAAAAAAAAATAAAAAGACTGTTCTTCCCAATCTCTTAAGAATGGTTCTTGACATTCAGATTCCACCTCTTAAAATTGTTACTAAAAGTACATGATAGGTATTTAGTAATGATCATTACTGTTGATAATCTTATTTTTCTCTAATTTTTATATTCTAATTATTTGAATAACTTCATTGATATGGTGAGGTTATGTGTGTATATCCATAGGTGTGTTTGTATTATCTGTGTATCTCATTACATATTAAATGAAAGTGATAGGATTTCTAACAAGGCTTTGTTCTAGAGCCAAAAAATTAAAAAATGTGTCCTTCCTATTCCTCTTAACAATGACTCTTACTGGAGGAACCGCCATTGTTTGGCAATGATTTTTTAGAGATTGAATTCCTAAAAAAGTACGTAGCAATTCAACAACATCCCTAGGGGGGCTGTTTAAGAGTTGAGTAGAGTATACCTCATGCTTAGACTGTCAGTGGCCATTTGAAGAGGGCCAGGGTAACCCATTCATGCACCAAGGTGATTGTTGTCAAAGTTTAGAAAAAATTCAAAGTATTCAAAGCAGCCTCTCTCTGAACAACAGACAGCATTGCATATTGAATATAATAAGATTTGTAATATGACCCACCTAATTTCAAATACTGTGGCCTTGTAATAGATTTTCAGCTTACTTAATTTCTCTAATATGATTTTCTTCTTCAACTTCAAAGTGGGAATAATATCTTCTTAGATTCCTGTGAAGATTAAACCAAGTGAAGTATGCGTAGTACCTGGCATCATATTTGACATTTGAAAAATAGTAAATGTAGTTATTACCTGCATATATTTTGGAGGTAGCTATTTAGAATTTTCAGACTCTCCAACTTTGCTTTATAAGGAGGAAGAATTTCAGCCATAGTTTAAGAACTTACAATCTAAAGGAATTTTAAAAAGTATTCTGCTTATTCATATAACACAGTATTGCATATCTCTGAAATGAAAAGATTTGACTAAATCTCTAAAGACTGGGAGGGAACTAGCTCTTTATTCACCATATGACCCTTAGTTCAGCAACATACTGGATGTCACCTTGGTTAAGTTACTTAACAACTCTTTGCCTCAGTTGCCTCATTCTAAAATGGAGTTATTAATACTGCTTAATCCATTGGATTATTATGAGGATTAAGTAAGTTTATATATGAGAGCAATTAGAAATCTATACCAAATGTAGTAATAAGCACCATTTTGTAAATGTTAACTAGGAACAGTAACAATAGCCATAATAGTAATAATACCATCATCATTAACTATTCTGAATGTTTATATAAATTGCAATTGGTATCCATAACTTCCTCTAAGGTAAGTGATGATAGTCATATTTTAGAAATGGGGGACACTTGATACAGTTTGTCCAATATCTCCACATTAGTCAGTAGCAGTTGGGATTTGAATCTAGATTCATCTGAATCCCAAATCCTACGCTTTTACCATTGTACCATCATTCAGCCCTCTAAGCTTTCTTTGATTCCTGAAGTTTCATAAAGGGAATTAAGTGATGATCCAACCAGAACAACTCTACTGATAACAGATAGCCTAGGCTGTATAATTGGTGAGATTAAGTCTTAAAAGGGAAGATTATATTAACCCATTTATTTTAGTTGCTATTTCCAAAAACAGGTTTTCATAAATTGAAAATTATTGAAGTGGTTAGCTAATGTTTTTTGTTTGTTTGTTTTTAACCATATCTCATAATGTATAACATTTAACAGTTATTCATAGGCATTTAACAAGACACCTATTTTGAGGGAATTATAGATTTAAACTTTTAAAAACCTGAAGCTTTTCAGAATTATTAACTTAAAATTTCATGTAAAGCATATTTTTTTTGTTGTTGATTTAATTTACCATCAAGTTATTGTTAGTAAATTCAAAATGCTTTGGTTTATCCTTAGTTTAAACTACTGTTGTTTTCAGATTTAAAATAATTACTTGGATTTTACTCTTTTGAATTCACCTTTCTACAGCTTCAAATTATTATTTTAATCATGTAAATAAGCAATATAAGAAATAAATGCTTGCTATTCAGTACCTTTTCATTATGCCATCTCTTTCTCTCTTCTAGAACTAACATCAAACCTCGAAATTCCACACCACCTAGTTTGGCACGAAATCCTTCCTCAGGTGTTCTTACAAACAAAAGAAAAACATATACTGAGAGCTACATAGCCAGGTATGTCTAGCTCTGAGATTCTAATAACTAAAATAAAAATAATGTATATAGTCTTCTAAGGACCAAATGCAAAAATATTTATCAGGCTATTAATAGAAAATCTGATTTCTCCTTTGCTATATGATTTATTTTGGCTTTAAGCTGTACACTAAATAGTTTGGGCATAAATAATATTTTTCTAGACCTTGTAGTTATTATTGTTGTAAATGCTTGAGGACAGTTTTTCAGTTTCACTGCATTCATTTGTGTTTTATATCTTAATTTTAAGTGCAACATGATTATTTTTACCTCTGCAAATTGAGTAATAGACCCTTTAAACTGGTATTGTAATTTTCAGCAACATTTAAATATATTTAAATTCCCTGCTGAGCTTGTGATTATCCATGTACTTCCCTTTCTTATCTGTCACAGTATTTGTGCAACTTCGACATTCACTCTGTTTTTAAGCATAAAACAAATCATTCTAGTATAGATATTATATATATCCTTATTCCAGAAAGTATAAGGGAATATACAGAGATTCACAACATACAGTGAGATACGATATTTTATAAAAATGAAAGAATATGAAAAGAAAAAATGAGAATTAAAAGATAAAGGAAAAAAAGGAATGAATTTAGCCCACAAAATATGTGTAGTCCACAAAATATGTGTCATAATACGCTGTATATAGGCTAGCCTTTGGCCATAAATTGGGTCCAAATTTTGTAGTGGCCAGAGTACAGGGGAAGATAGGAGTAGTTAGTTACATGATTCGTGTTGTATTAAAAAAAAAAAAAATCATTTCTCTGTGAAAGCACACCTAGTCCTGAGACCTCAAAAATCTGCCTATGAATTCTCATAAAGAGACACTGGATAATTTATTACTATTTTTTAAATTTTATTTTATTTACTTTCAATTAACTAACATATAGTATATTATTAGTTTCAGAGGTAGAGTTCAGTGATTCATCAGTCTCATATAACACCCAGTGCTCATTACATCCTGTGCCCTCCTTAATGTCCATCACCCAGTTACTCCATCCCCCTACCCACCTCCCCTCCAGCAACCCTCAGTTTGTTTCCTAGGATTAAGAGTCTCTTATTGTTTGTCTCCCTCTCTGATTTCGTCTTGTTTTATTTTTCCCTCTCTTCTTCTATAATTCTCTGTTTTGTATCTTAAATTCCACATAGGAGTGAGATCATGTAATTGTCTTTCTCTGATTGACTTATTTCACTTAGCATAATACCCTCTAGTTCCATCCACATCATTGCAAATAGCAAGATTTCATTTTTTTGATGGCTGAGTAATATTTCAATTGTGTGTGTGTGCGTGTGTGTGTGTGTGTATACATATACCACATCTTCTTTATCCATTCACCTGTTGATGGACATCTAGGCTCTTTCCATAGTTTGGCTATTGTAGACATTGCTGCTATAAACACTGGGGTGCATGTACCTCTTCGGATCCCTACATTTGTATCTTTGGGGTAAATACCAAGTAATTCAATTGCTGGGTCATAGGGTAGCTCTATTTTCAGCTTTTGAGGAACCTCCATACTGTTTTCCAGAATGGTTGTACCAGCTTGCATTCCCACCAACAGTGTGAGAGGGTTCCCCTTTTCCTCATCCTCTCCAACATCTGTCATTTCCTAACTTGTTAATTTTAGCCATCCTGACCAGTGTGAGATAATATATCATTGTGGTTTTGATTTGTATTTCCCTGATGCTGAGTGATGTGGAGCACTTTTTTCATTTGTCTGTTAGCCATCTGTATGTCTTCTTTGGAGAAAATGTCTGATCATGTCTTCTGCCCATTTCTTGATTGGGTTATTTGTTCTTTGGGTGTTGAGTTTGGTAAGTTCTTTATAGATTTTGGATACTAGCCCTTTATCTGATATGTCATTCGGATGTCTTTCGGTTTTGTTGACTGTTTCCTTTGCTGTGCAAAATCTTTTTATCTTGATGAAGTCCCAATAGTTCATTTTTGCCTTTGTTTCCCTTGCCTTCGGAGATATGTCTAGTAAGAAGTTGCTATGGTTGAGATCGAAGAGGTTGCTGCCTGTGTTGTCCTCTAGGATTTTAATGGATTCCTGTCTCACATTTAGGTCTGTCATCCATTTTGGTCTTTCATCCGTTTTGAGTCTACTTTTGTGTATGCTGTAAGGAAATGGTCCAGATTCATTCTTCTGCATGTGGCTGTCCAATTTTCCCAGCACCATTTGTTGAAGAGACTGTCTTTTTTCAATTGGATATTCTTTCCTGCTTTTTGAAGATTAGTTGACCATAGAGTTGAAGGTCCATTTCTGGGTTCTGTATTCTGTTCCATTGACCTATGTGTCTGTTTTTGTGCCAGTACCATACTGTCTTGATGATTATAGCTTTGTAATATAGCTTGATGTCCTGAATTGTGATACCACCTGTTTTGGTTTTCTTTTCTTTTTTTTTTTTAATTTAATTTAATTTTATTATGTTATGTCAACATACAGTACATCGTTAGTTTTTGATGTAGTGTTCCATGATTCATTGTTTGCATCTAACACCCAGTGCTCCATGCAATACGTACCGTCTTTAATACCATCACCAGGCTAACCCATCCCCCCACCCCCCTCCCCTCTAAAACCCTCAGTTTGTTTCTCGGAGTCCATAGTCTCTCATGGTTCGTCTCCGTCACCGATTCCCCCACTTCATTTTTCCCCTCCTTCTCCTAATGTCCTCCATGCTATTCCTTCTGTTCCACAAATAAACGAAACCATATGATAATTGACTTTCTCTGCTTGACTTATTTCACTTAGCATGATCTCCTCCAGTCCCATCCATGTTGATGTAAAAGTTGGGTATTCATCCTTTCTGATGACCGAGTAATATTCCATTGTATATATGGACCACCTCTTCTTTATCCATTCATCTGTTGAAGGGCATCTTGGCTCTTTCCACAGTTTGGCTATTGTGGACATTGCTGCTATGAACATTGGGGTGTATATGGCCCTTCTTTTCACTACATCTGTGTCTTTGGGGTAAATACCCAGGAGTGCAATTGCTGGGTCATAGGGTAGCTCTATTTTTAATTTTTTGAGGAACCTCCACACTGTTTTCCACAATGGCTGTACCAACTTGCATTCCCACCAACAGTGTAAGAGGGTTCCTCTTTCTTCTGTGGGACTTTCTAAAAATGAACATGTCCACGTGCCTCCCAGAGAGGTTTTGATTTCTTTGGTTTGGATTTTTTAAATTTTAAGAGTGATGCTTATGCATAACAACGGATGAGAACCATAAAGGAATAGGTGAATTGCTACCTTTGCAGGTAGATTCTTTCATGAATACTGTTTGTTTCACCTAAGGTTTTGATACATTTTAAATATTAAAGAAGTAATGTTTCTTGGAGTCCTGAAGTTAGCTGTATTATGTTGTATATGTGTGGAGCCATGTGTTTTGGATACATGCTGAATGTAGGATTAACATTCTCTTACAAAATGGAAAACTTAATAAATACATGTGCTTGAATAAAAAGATCATCTTATCTTTCTAAAGAGGTAGACAAAGAAGTGACAACAAAAGAAGTGCAGGGGCAAAAATCACATTAAAAATGAGTTTGAATTCTTTTTTAGTTTGTTTCTTTTCTTTCTTTCTTTTTAAATGGTTGATAGGTGATAGTAAACCTTGTTCACTTGACTTACTACCCTACCCAGATGGAATAATTATAACCATAACAGATGAAGAAATCTCACAGATTTCTTTTTCTGGAAGTGTGATAGACTACATTTTCTGGATGGCCCTTCCAACCCAAAACACCTAAAAATGCTACACAAAATGGAACAGATATCCTTTTGAATGTGTAGCTTAGCTCTCAGAAAAGTTAGAGAAACTTCCACAGGTAAGTAAATAAAGGAAACGAGGGGTCAGATTGGTAAATTAACCCTGACACTGAACTTACATTTGAGGTTTTGACTGATCTTCCCTACTTAAAGTCTTGGATTTTAATGTCATTGTGGGAGAGAGGAGGCGATTTCTTGGACTTGGGCAGAGCGGAGCTTTAGAAACTCAACTTTTCCTTCCCCTCTCCTCATGCCTCTTCCTCTACACCAGTACTCTTGAAATGTCCATCAAGAGGTTGTCTTGGGCTCGGCTAGAGGTAATCGCATGCTAAAATATGACAGTGGGATTATTTACAGGAAATAGGGAATGAAAGCAGGCAGTGTCGGGTGTTTCTCTTTCCTGGGAGCCCTTGCCCCAGTCCTGGAGCTGATTTTCTTTGGCCTTCCAAGTGACAGCGTAGATGTGAGAGAACAAGATCTTTTTATTTTATTTTATTTTATTTATTTATTTTTAAAGATTTTATTTTATTTATTTGACAGAGAGAGAGAGAGAGACAGCTAGAGAGGGAACACAAGCAGGGGGAGTGGGAAAGGGAGAAGCAGGCTCCCAGCCAAGCAGAGAGCCCAATGCGGGGCTCGATCCCAGGACCCTGGGATCATGACCTGAGCCGAAGGCAGACGCTTAACGACTGAGCCACCCAGGCACCCCAGAGAACAAGATCTTAATAGGTGGGTGTAGGATAGTTTAATTGGAAATTCTATGTTCCCAAAGGGAACCAGTTTCTTTTGTAACAGCCCCGTAGACGTAGCTTTCAGGTGTCCTGAGGGATGTCTAATTCCCGTGGATTGCGTACAAGCACTGCTGCCTGGAAACACAGCTGGTATTCCACCTTTTTAAAGGTTCTCATTAAAGAAAGCTAGGCAGTTATCCCAAAGTCAGATGTGTCCACAGAAACGGAGAAAGAATTCTCCTTACGTTATATTATAGATTAAAATAGAAATGATTATAGCTGACATTCTTGTGACATTTCTGCTTTTAAAGAAAATGCTTCTTAAATGTCACCATTATATATGAAGACTGATAAAGGATTCTGTTAAATACATTTTGTCAATGACATTCCTTTCTATTCCTAATTTTCTAAGTGTTTTTTTTTTTTTAAATGAAAAATAGGTGGTGAATCTTACTGGATATCATATATATAAAACCAGTATTTTAAATCCTTTAATCTATTTGTGTTTTAAATTATATTAGTAGATTTTCTAATGTTAAGTCAATCTTATTTTCTGGAATAAATCTAAAGTGTTTTGAATTGCATATGTCTGTAGATTGTGTTTGCTAAAATTCTTGGAGATTTATATGTATTTCCAAGTTAATAGGTAAAATTGATTATATTTTTATATTCTCTTATTAGTCTGAATATCAAGGTTTTACCGACCTTTGAAAAGAAATTGCAGAATGTTGTTTTTCACCTCCCTCTGCTGGAAAAGTTTAGTAGAACTTACCATGTTTTTTTCTTTAAAATATTTTATTTACTTATTTGATGGAGAGAGAGAAAACCCAAGTAGGGTGAGGGGCTGAAGAAGAGGGACAAGCAGACTCCCCACTGAGCAGGGAGCCTGATGCCAGGCTCAATCCCAGGACCCTGGGATCATGACCTGAGCCAGAGGCAGACACTTAACCGACTGAGCCACTCAGGCACCCCTAGAACTTATGATGTAAAATTATCATGAGTCCAGTGTGTGTGTGTGTGTGTGTGTCTGCACGTGCCCACGTGATAAGGAGTAAAGTATGTTAATTACTGATTCAATCACTTTAATGATTATGTCTGTTTAGTGTTACAGTTTGTTTGAAATCAGTTTTCATAAGATATTTTTCTAGGAAATGTTTCATTTCATCTAAGTTTCAAATTATTAGCATAGAATTGTTCTTGTAATTTTTTTTTTTAATTTTATTTATTTGACAGAGACACAGTGAGAGAGGAAACACAAGCAGAGGGAGTGGGAGAGGGAGAAGCAGGCTCCCCGCAGAGCAGGGAGCCCTATGCGGGGCTCAATCCCAGGACCCAGGGATCATGACCTGAGCCGAAGGCAGACACTTAACGACTAAGCCACCCAGGCGCCCCTTGTGCTTATAATTTTAAATCTCTGCTATATCTGTAGTTATATCCTTGTTTCATTCTGAATATTGTTTATTCCTTTTCTGTTGATCAATCTTAAAAGGTTGATCTGTTGATCAATTTTAAAAGGACCAAATATTTTGCTTTGTTTATCTTCTTCATGTATTACTCATTCATTCACTGACTCATTAAAAAATATTTACTGAGAGATGAGTTTATGTCAGGTACTTCTCTTGATCCTAGACAAAGAGCAGTAACAAAACAGATAAAAATCAGTGCACTTGGGGGAGCTCACAGTCTTATGGAGAAGACAAGACGTAACAGAAATGACATACACCGCATGTCAGATGGAAAACAAGAAAGCAAAGGGTGACACAATTTAGGGTGGCAGGGAGAGTGTCCAGAGCCATGAGGGTTACAGTACAGGGGATGAAGGATGAAAGAATTTAAGTGTATATAACTAAATTAGAGCAAAGGACCTAACAAGATTTAGCCTGATGATAGTGATGAGAATTCGAGTGAAAAGACTCCATGGATACAGTGAAAATAGCATGACACATTGGGAGAAGTTATGTATATGTTGTTTTATAATATGTATAATAATATGTACATATTTATTACAGTATATATTTGGAGGAAAGACATCCATCTTTCCTCAGGGCGAGGTTCTAGTTTTCTCTTTAGAGATGGTTTTGCACAAAGGACACTATAAATTTCCATTCTATCCCCATTGTAGTATATGCCTAGTACATTGAACAAATGGAAAGTGTGGTGGTATTTGCCCAGGAAAAATTCTCATAAACAGGGACAAATATAGTGCCAAAGAAAATATTTAGAATTTCATTATTAACTAAAAGGGATTTTTAAAATCTGAACTAGAAAAATATTAAAACTGAGGTTAAGCAAGCTTTTGCTTATACTTAGTATTAAGTACTGTTTTCTAAGGGTTATGAAAACTACTGACAAGAACTTTGTGTTTCTACTTTTCTTCCTGTACTCCTTCAGGCCAGATGGAGACTATATATCTTCACTTAATGGCGGAAATGTTAAAGGCATGGAAGGAAATTCAACAGGACACTTACCAAAATTCTGCCATGAGTGTGGGACTAAATACCCTGTAGAATGGGCAAAGTTTTGTTGTGAATGTGGCATTCGAAGAATGGTTCTGTGAATAGACCCCAAAAGAAAAAGCTAAGTCCAGAATCTTATGACTGTTGCACCTTGGACAGCTAAACATTTCCTTTAGGGATTTTATGCTAAAATTATTCGAAATACTTTTTTCAGCAATTTTTGGAGCATAATTCTTTGGCTGTGTAATGTGTGTGTGTATATAAATGTGTACATATACTGTATATAATAAATACCTGATACCCCAAACTGTGCCATTTATGGAAATACTCATCTGTCAGAAAATAATTTCAAGTGGAATCATTAACTGTTACTGTTGTTATTGCACATTAAGCATACCTTCACAAAATCAAATGCTAGTGCTCAGCCCTTCAAGCTTTAGAATGATCATTACTTTGAGCAAAAAATCAGAACAAACATTTTTATTATCGGTGCCTATTTTCACATAGTATAGGATGGGATGCTTGGAATTTTGGAAATGAAGAGAGTATTTTCAGTTACAGTTAGTTATGTAAGGTCATTTTCCTGTAGAGCTCTTTAACAATTAATTTTATAAATATTAAAAAAAGAAAGGAATTAAACCTCTACAGGTCTATGATGTCCTTTACTCGGTATATCATTAATTATATAATCTAGAGATCTTTATTCATTCCTTAAAATGTAATTATGCAATTTCCTTTTCAGAGACACAAGACTGAAAAATACAAATGTATTTTATTCCAGTTATAACTGAAGGTTTTTTTTTTTTTTACCTCTGTGTGTTTAGTTGAATGTATATTCTATCTATTTCTAATTGTGTCTCCATATTTCACTTTTTTCTTTTTCATACCCTCATGTCTGAGGAGTTTTAATTTACTACTTCCTTATTTTTGCGAAGTTTGAAAATAATTATTTAATAGAAGAGGCACAAGATTCCTTGCAAAATTCTACATGTTTATTTCTGTGTCTGAATTTAGAAAAAATTATTTTAATGGATTTTAAAATAAACCACCTCACCCTAATAAATAATTTGGATAATTAATCATTACTGCAGGGAATGCAGGTAAAAAGTATTTTAATTTTTTAATTTTAATTTCCCTTGAAGTATAGTTAGATGTAGTGATGAGTTGGTTAAGAGACTATCTAATGTTTCCTCTTATATTTTCTTTTTAGTGTTTAATACTGAAACACCATTCACATCACAGTAAAAAAAACCACTGAAAATGCACTGCTTTAATGCACAGCTGACTTATGTAATTAAACATTCACAAAAAGTTATACTTTAACTTTGGCTAAAATATAGCTTTTAATCATTGTCACTTTCAGTGTGACAGTATTTAGTAGTAGAATCTTTGATGGCCTGTGCAAGCCAGGTTCAGTAACTCCTTAGTAATTTCTGTTGAATGGAAAGAAAAGAGCTTTGATCTTATTATAAAGGTGTAAGCAAATCATTTGTAGGCCATTTTTAGCTTCTCGTTTATGATTGTGATCAACTGTAAGGGTTAATGTAGAAATTTGTGGCTTTTAATTTTCTCTGAAATTTATTTATGCTTATACTTTATAATTGTATCATTAGTTTTTTTGTGGTTTTGTTTTGTTTTTTCATTCAGGTAGGGGATATAAACTTTGAGGTAATGGGAATTGTCGTTTTATTTACCTTATAGTTTCTTTCCTGACTTTTCATTAACTTTTTAAAATCTGGTTGTCTTTATTCAGTCATATTGGTCTAAAAAAGGAATCCATTAGCTAGAATAAGCTGTAATTAATTTAGGAGAATAATGTACATATTAGATTTTCATTTCAATAATATATGTTACTCTGTCCCGTTATAAATCATATGAAGAACTTTAAACTTTGTTTTCTCTGGAACTGAGCATTATTTTTCTTTTTCCAAGTTTTTTTTTTTAAGACCACGTAATTTTTGCCCAAGGAAGGGGTAGGTAAATGAACTTAAACACAGTGGCACATGTTTGTTCCTCACAGAATTTTGTGGTAGCCAGTAAATGTTATAATGTACTACATGGAAAATGAGTTGGTATAAAAATCATCCAATTCTAGAACCCAGAGATTATTATAAACAGTAAGTAGGTGAAGTATACTTATGAATTATGAAACATGTTGTGACAATGTATTTAAATGCATTTTTGTATTACTTATATTATTTTCACATTGATTTGTTGTGCAATAGTTCAGTTTATAAGAAATTTTCCTAGATCTATGCATCATTTACTTTATTTATTTTCACAAGTATTTGCTAGTGTGGTAGAATAAAAAAATGATTGTAAGCTTAAATTAAAAATGTAAAAATTGCTTATATATTATTCTGAAAGTCATTAGCTTGAAGAAGTAAGATTATTATGGTTGCTGTTGTCTCTTGTTCACTCTGTTTTTTATTACAAATACTGTCTTCATTTCTGAAACAATTCAATAAAGACATATAGCAAAAAAATTTTCAATTGGTCTTTATTGATGTCTTAGCTTTTAGCCATACATAGGTAATAGAAAGATAAGAGCACACTGAAATATGAAGAAAATATTCAAAGTTAAAATACAGATTTTTTAAATGAGATAATAGCTTTTCATTGGCAGGTTTTTTGTGCCATCAGCTTTTAAAGAAATTGCTATTGTTTTTTGAATTGAAGTGTTTTATGGCATCAAAGTATTATAAATATGTTTCATTACAAGATTTCTAAGACCTAGAAAAATTCTCTTTATGTCCAGTAAAATATAGCAGTTGAAAACATGAGTGAAGTCAAGGTTGTTAGGAAACATTGTGGATATTTCTAGTTAGGAAATATACAGTTTAATAGCAAATAGTATTGGTTTGTGATCAATACTTAGTGATTTAGACTATCATATTTAAAATTTTATTTTATTTTATTTATTTTTTAAAGATTTTATTTATTTATTTGAGAGAGAGAGAATGAGAGAGAGCACATGAGAGTGGGGAGGGTCAGAGGGAGAAGCAGACTCCCTGCCGAGCAAGGAGCCCGATGCGGGACTCAATCCAGGGACTCCGGGATCATGACCTGAGCCGAAGGCAGTCGCTTAACCAACTGAGCCACCCAGGCGCCCCGATATTTAAAATTTTAAACAGTAGCTGTCTCTAGTAAAAATACAATCAAATTAGACATGTTTGGTTTGTACTCAATCTTCCCTGTTCTAGAGACAAATACTTTTACCATGAATAGAAGCTCAGAGAATGAAAAATAATAGAAGAGGTACATAACTGTGTACAAAGAGTCAGCAGAACTGTATCTTTATTTGCATTGCAGGTATATGTATTTTATATGGTGGATACATTTTTAGTACTAAGATAGGTTAACTTTTCTAACTGACTATATTGAATAGAGCAGTGGAAAAATTGTTAAAACCAAGTTAATGATAGCCATTATTTTCATTTAGAAATTTTTCAGGTTATTACTGTCAGGATACTCATAGATAATTTTGTCTGTCTTATAGGTGAACTGCTTTTTTGCCACTAGAGGGTGCTTTTAGATAATTTAATATTGCCAGTTTTCAATTCTTATTTTAAAGGCCTCTCAGCAGTAGAAGTATGAGATATATATATAGATAGATATAGATATATATATCATGGCCTTACAGAGATTTATAAAAGATTGTTTTTATTTTGTTGTGATTTTAACAATTCATATGTTGATTTTTTTTTAAGATTTTATTTATTTATTTGACAGAGACACAGCAAGAGAGGGAACACAAGCAGGGGGAGTGGGAGAGAGAGAAACAGGCTTCCCGCTGAGCAGAGAGCCCGATGCGGGGCTCGATTCCAGGACTCTGGGATCATGACCTGAGCCGAAGGCAGATGCTTAACGACTGAGCCACCCAGGCGCCCCTCATATGTTGATTTTTAAGAACTTTAGTCTAGCTCGTTTTGGGTACCAGGGTGGTAGTAATTAATAGAAATGTTTAATATTTACTCTTCACAATATTTTGTTAGCAAATTTGTGCATCTCAAACATATTACTAAAATATTACCAGATATTCTTTGTACTATTACTTTAATATTTCATCTTAGTTGTACAAGAGTTTTCATTTCCTTTTAAGATAATTTTTTTCAATCTTTTAACCTAACTTAATGATACCTTATATAGGAGAGTGACATCTACTTATTTATTTTTTATTATTTTTTAAGTTTTTATTTTAATTCCAGTTAACATAAAATGTTATATTAGTTTCAGATATACAATATAGGGAGGGATTGAACACTTCTATACATCACCCAGTGCTCATCACAAGTGCCCTTCTTAATTCCCATCACTCGTTTCACCCATTCCCCCCCCCACACACACACACCTCCCCTCTGATAAGCATCAATTCTTTATAGTTAAGAGTCTGTTTCTTGATTGGTCTCTCTGTCTTTCTCTCTCTTTTTTTCCCCTTTGTTCATTTGTTTTATTTCTTAAATTCCACATATGAGCAAAATCCTATGGTACTTGTCTTTCTCTAACTGACTTATTTTGCTGATCATTTTACTCCATTCATGTCATTGCAAATGGAAAGATTGAGAGTGACATCTATTTAAAGTAAGAGCTAAGTAAGTTGTTAGACCAACTAATATGAGATGCACAAAACTAAAACTTTAACTTATACTTACTTTATACTTTAAACTAAAACTTTGTACTTACAAATATTAAAAAAAAGCTTTACATGTTCTTCATTCTCTGATATACTAGGGATTGAGAGCAATAAGTAAGATGTGATTAAGTCCTTATGCTATAAAGTTGATGTAACTTATTTGGAGAAGCCGATATACATACAATTACAACTCAGGACAAACAGGAGGATTCATTTTCATGAAATTTTATTATAAAGTACCAACAAAATACTGCAGAAATGTTGAAGATAGAGCTTCTCATCACCACAAGTTATAC